CTGACCTTTGGGCCGGGGAGATGGCTCAGTGGCATATGTGCCTGACTGGCATGCCCAAGGTTCCGAGTTCGATCCCCAGTACCACACACACACACACACACACACACACACACACACACACAAAGTAAAGAAAGAAAAAGAGAATGAATGAACCCAACAACAACAAAAATGTTGACCTTCCACGGTCATTTTGACCCCAAGAACAAATCAAATATCACACAGTATCACATCTAGTCAATAAGGACACAACATAGCATGTCCCTGTTGGATGTCCCCCCCCCCAACAGAATTCACCAGTTTTGATTACACCTTTTAAGGGCACTCACAAAAGAGAACTCCTACAACTACTTCAGAAGTGGGAAGGAGCAGGTGCAGTGGTACATGCCTATAATTCTAGCACTCAAAGACTGAGGCAGAAGGGTTGCCACAGGTTAAGCCCAGCCCAAACCTCTCTCATTTCCTCCCCCAATGGGAATGACAGAAAATGGTAAGTGCGTTCAAAGGAGAGGGAATACTTTGAGGGAAATTAATAGCAACGTATCTTTTACTGTAATACATCTTAAAAATTTAAACACACTGCATTTTTAAATCATCTTGTACATGTCAATGGAACAGAATGCAGGTTCAGAAAGGGTGAACTGACAAAGATGCAAAGGTAACATGAAGGAGAAGGGATAACATTTTCAGAAGGCAATGCTAGAAGTGGCTATTTACATGCAAAACGTGTTCAACCTTACATCATAGTACAATTTAACCTGAAACAAGACCACAGAGATAAATATAAACCCTAAACATATCCTACTTGAAGAAAAGTGGATGTTTTTATTACACTGAGTCAGACAAAATGTGTAAGATAGGGCATAAGAAGCACAAAACACAAAAAAGTTGGTCAGGACTGGGGATGTAGCTCAGTGGTATATCTCTTACCTAGCATGCATAAGGCCCTGTGTTTAATCCCCAGAATCACAAACTAAAGCAATCCAAACCCCTCCAAAATACAAACAAGTTGATCAGATAGATAATCACAATTTTATATGTCAGGTCCTCAAAAGAAAAAATGGTTATGTGCCACATATCTATAATCCCAGCACTTGGGAAGCTGAGGAAAGAGTGTCACCATGAGTTTGAGGTAAGCCTGGGCTATGTAGTGAGTGCAAGGCCAGCCTGGACTACAAGGGTAAGGCCCTATCTCAAAAAAAAAAAAAAAAAACAACCAAAAAAACACCAAAAAGCAAAAAACATAAAACATAAAAACAAACAAAAGAGGAGATGCAAGGAAATATAATGTAAAAGAAAAACAAATACAGGGGCCGGGGAGATGGCTCAGTAGAATAAGTGCTTGCCTGGCAAGTGCATGGGTGCGAGTTCAACCCCCAGTTCTACCAAAAAAAAAAAGAAAAACAAAAAATCTGTACTTAACAGCCTCAACAATCTACAGAACTCAAACATCAATTTCATTTTAAAAATGGGCAAGAAATTTAAATGGATACTTCATCAAAGAATGGGACACAAACATATGAAATTGTACTGAACATCATTTGCCATCACAGAAACAAAAATTGAAACCAGAAAACTTTGTGGTACACCCTAAATACAACAGTTACCCTAACAAAACTTACAAGTGTTGGTGTGACCGAGGACTGATTCTTACAAACTGCCCATTTTCCAACCACACTGAAAAATGGTTTGGCAATTTCTTAAATATACACTTAGCTGGGAAATTGGCAGGAGTATCACTGTGTGTTCAAAGCCAGCCTAGACTACACAGTGAGTTTGAGGCCAGCCTGAACTATAGTGAGACCCTGTCTTAAACACACATACACCCTACGACTATGATCTTTTTTTGACACTTTCCTAAGTAGCAGCTCTTTAAGCATGAGTCACTGCACTGAACTGTCCATAGATTAATTTTTAACATACCACACTTCAGTTCTTTGGGGTTTTTTGTCTTTCGGAGACAGGGTCTTGCTATGCAGTTCAGGCTGGCCTCCAACTCAAGTGATCCTCCTATAACCCCCAGTGCTGGATTATAGCTATGACACCATACCCAGCCACACTTCAGTTCTTTTTTTTAAATATTTATTTATTGTATGTGTGTGTGTGTGACCAGCTCAGCCCACCAGGGGGTGGGCTGGCTGGCATGTGGTGCTGGGGATTGAACCGTGGTCCCTTGTGCTTTGCTAAGCTTGGTCTAAGTAGGTGCTTTAGACCACTGAGCCATCTCACCAGCCCCACACTTCAGTTCTTCAATAAAATGTTTGTGGCGTAAATTAGAGGTCAGAGAGCTTTACTTACTTCAACCATTCCTTGATGGGGTCCAGAGAAGCCACAGGAATGGCATTGATCATTGTCACTTTCTTGCTGTAGTCTTTGTAGACAATCACCATATCAAAGTTCTTCAGATGAAACTGGACTCTCTCAAAATGGATCAGCTCCACTTCATCCAATGTCACCACAAAAGGTGGCTGTCACATGGAATTGGATCGTTACTCTCACCATAGAACTATTTCCTTTCAAATACTTTCAGGATTTAAATCATGACACAAAAGACTAAGCCATTATTTGGTGCTTGTGAAAAACTGAAGCAGTATGAAACACTAAGAACTCCAAGTAAAACCATCTGTGGGATCGAAATCTTCTTTCAAAGAAAATATATTAAAGGAAATTATGTAAAAAAATGTTTTTGGAAAAACCCCTACATTTCTAAAGAATTTTTTTTTTTGGAGACAGGGTTGCACAATGTAGTCCAGGCTGGCTTTGAACTCATGGCAATCTTTCTGCATCAGCCTCCTGAGTTCTGGGATTATAGGAGTGCGCCACCATGCCTGGCTATGTAATGAGTTTCAAGTCTAACTTCAGTACCAAAAAATGACCATCAGAATAATTAAGAGCAAAACACCAACCCTTCTGCTTTCGTTTTTCTAACAAGTTTTTTTCTTACTCAACAGGAGGCAAGAGGGCTGTAGGGTAATGTTCAGTATCAGAGCATGTACTTAAATCAGAGACTCTGGGTTTGATCCTTAACAATAAATAAATAAATAAAATAAACAAGCTAGGAAATACTCACCCATTCTGTAGCATTGACCAGCGCACTACTAGTGGGCTGAAGGAGGCAGGTACTCCTGTAGGGAGCTCCATTAAATCTGAAAGAACAAGGGGAGGAGTGGGCACATCACAGGTGACCCTGGTTCTTCAGGCCAAACACAGCTCCATGCTCACTGGAGACTTGTGTCCTGGGGAAGGCTCTCCACCTCAGCCACAAACAAACTTACAAATTTTTAAGAATGAGTAGAGCCTCAAAGGTTAATAATTACACAAAAAGGGGATATGTTAATTTGTTCTTAGGAGAGGTTCATTTTTTGATTTTGGTGCTGAGGACTTAAAAAAAAGAGTAATTTTTTTTTTATATTTTAGGGAAGGGTCTACAGGGTGTTCAGAGTCTCACTACTAGATTGTACTTGTATTGATCTGCTTGTTTACAGCCTCCCAGGAGCTGGGATTACAGGCTCACACCACCATGCCCAGTCTCAATTGCCATCTGACTGCACCTGAGAGTGGAGCTGGCACAGGGGCGGGGCTGGCACGGCAGGCCCAGGATCCCCAGCCCCTGCTTGCAGGTGCTTTAATCCGCTAAACTATTTGGCCAGCCTTTTTTTTTTCTTCTTTTTTTGAATAATTTACTTTCCTAAAATGTAGAAGAGTATGAAACTTTAGGCTAAAAGGAAGACTTCTGTTACCCCAAGTCTCGAAAAGGCACTTCAAATTCCAGTTCCTCCTTTGTTAGAGCTTCTACTTTTTCGATGAAATTTTTAAAGGCAGTTTTCAGTTTGTGCCTCATTTCTCGTTCCATCTGTAGGAGAAAATAAATACTAATAATAACCCACAGGGTACTTCTTAATAGTACCCCCTCTGAAAAAGTCTAAAGTGCTTTTGTATTCTTTCTCTTAATTCCAAAGCAAATGTTTATGCAAATATGAACATGCTACTGAAGGGCACCAATCCCTTACTGTCAAGGTGAATCCATAACCCAAGTCCACTGCATTCTACCATTTCAGCATTTGAGCAGCTGTGCAGAGATGAAGAGTTTTTATGAAATACAATTCCTGAGCTTGGATGTGGACCTCTCCTGCCACACTACACTGCACAGACAACACTGGATGCCACGGACCTGCTCAGCATAGAGGTCATCTCGATCATGCATGTGCTGGTGTTTCCCCAAGTCTGTGGTGATCTCCCCCACTTCTGTGTAGAACTGCACATCTGTGTGTCGCTTCTTCCCAAACATGATGGCATTCTGATAGCATAAGAGGAAGAACAATAATGACATCAGGAGACTTAAGCAACTAACACAGAAAGAGGCAAGACATGAGAAACAGAACTCAAAAACATAAAACTCCCTATGTTGGAAATGACATAAAAATTTGGGCCTCTATAAACTTTGGAAAATAGTGAGAAGCTTTGACTAAAGTATAACTTTAATTTCAGAAAAAGGAATTTAGGGGAATCTTTTAGGTTTTGGCTGTGATTATATCCCACAGGAAAGTGACAAACATGCTTAGCTCCTTCTAGCTGCCAGGTGCTATGGACTTTATACTCATATTCAAAATTCCTGATCATCTTGTGACAACTAATTTTAACCATGATTTTATAAGTTAAAAAGAATTAAATATTTTCCCCATGAGCTCATAATTATAGCTAGTTAAGGAGAAGGTGTACCTTAAGGTGAAAGTGCAGGACAATAATCATCTCTCCATCACAGGGCTGGAACAAAGCATGTTTAATATTATTGTACAAAATATCCACTTTGTCTCCTCGAACAGAAGTGAAGCGGAAACCTGGGGAAAACAATCAGGCAGTATCATCAGGCTAGAGTAAGAGGCACTGTATTTCTTCTGACTGATCTGAAACAGGATCAGAGGGAACACCAGTAACCGTACAAAACATCTTTCTTCTGGAGAAGCAGCCACATTAGGAGATTCACCCTGCTGTGCCTTGTCATAATGCACTATATGATGTGCTATTCCTGCAAACATGCCAAGGTACATAACAGCGTTTGTACACACCGTTGACATGGGCCTCCAGGGAGCCCTGCATCCTCTTCTGGGCAATGTTGGGGCGGATGTACAGATCTTTCAGTTTGGGATTGCTCCGGTTTAGATTGATCACCAGTGAGTCTTGTTTCACGATGCCCTATGTGGTAGGAAAAATGTGAATCCTCGTGTACCTTTTACCTGTTCCCTAAAATACATTTCCTTTTTGAATAAGCGTGACATCTATTCAAAGGCTCACCTCCTTTTCTTTCTCTTCTGCTTCCCGAGTCTTGTAACGTTTCTGTACTTCTTTTATAATTCGGAAAGCATTCTGAAGGTTCAAGGCTGGTACTGTCTGTTCTCCAGGTGCTTTCATATTTGAGGCACGGTATGTACTGCCGAAAGGGGAAAATGTTAGTAAAAGTTTATTGATCAGGCCAGGTAACCTCTACCCATTACTGTATTTTGTAATTGACTTACAGACTTTTTTTTTTTTGCAGGGCTGGGGATTGAACTCAGGCTCTTGCACTTATTCAATTGAGCTATCTCACCAGCCCCAGCTTATAGTCTCTTGAGAGAAAAATGTAGTACTAAATGGTGAGAACTATTTAAAAAGCTGAAAAGAATTTCCTTTTTTTCCTCTTCAATAGAAAAAAAAAGACAGATCATAACTAACCCACTGGGGTTAAAAGAAATCAGACTTAATTTTCTTTTTTAAAAAAAATATATTTAGTACAGGGTCTACAGGGTCTCACTACACAGATCAGACTTGCAGTGACCCGTGTTTTTAGCCTCCCAAGTGCTGAGATTACAGGCATGCGTCACTGTGCCCAGTCTCAGTTGAAGTCTCAGCAGGCCCCGGGGGCAGGGCCAGCAGGGCACACCAGGAATTGAACCCTGGTCCTGTGCCTGTCTTAAGTAGGCGCTTTAGTCTGCTAAGCTATCTGGCCGGCCTTTATTTTTCAATTCTTGTATAATATCTTCTAATGCCATCCCATTCCACATCAAGAAGGAACAGAACAGAATGTGATACATATTTGATTTGAGGATTGTTTTGTAAAATATGCACAGTAAGTATATTTTATACTCATGATTCTGCATCAGGGTCCATCCTCAAAATAATGCAGTCGGTCAAACAAACCGAACAATGGGCCCCTGATGAAAGCTTTGGTGTTACCTAGGCAGAGGACAGAAGATGGCTGGCTTCCTGGGTACTCACATTTCCTTGACAAAAGTGGCTTCAGGATTAGGGAAGATGTTGCCTTCGTTCCTGCCCAGAGCACTGCCTGGGCAATAGAAGTTGATTCGCAAGTAAGTATAATCTCCTTCTACAGACATACTTATATTCTGTTCAAAGAGAGAAAAACCAAGAACAAAAGCAGTAAGTTTTTTCCCCAGACAGTAGTAACAGAGATGCAAAAACTAAATTAGGAATTACGGGCTGATTGCGTTCTAAGAATTTACACTGTAAACCTTAATCTGAATCTAATAAACATAGTTAGCTCTGCACATGTGGAATTAGGAATTCAAAATCAAGCTCTCAACACTCACAATGTGAACTAAATGCTCTGCCACTGAGCTACACCCCTAGCCACTTTTTTGTTTTTTTTAAGCTGTGAGTCATGGTCTCATTAAGTTGCCCAGGCTGGGCTTGAACTCTCAATCTCCCTGCCTCTACCTCCTAAGTAGCTGGGACTATTGGTATGTGCTACCATCCCTGGCTTAGCTCATTCTAGTATTTATTTATTCATGGTACTCGAGACTGAATGCAGGGTTTTTGCACTGAGCTACATTCCCAACTTTTTTAAATTTTGAGACAACATCTCACTAAACTGTCTAGGCTGGGATCAAATTTATGATATTTGTCTTGGCCTCTCAGTACTGGGATTACAACATGTGTCGACTAGCTTATTTTTACTTTACTGAGTATCTGTTTTCTAGAACAATCAATAGAACCATCCTCCCCTTCAGCTTGGGATGAATGGACTCCACGGCCTAGTGCATGCTAGTCAAGGGTTCTTTTACTGAGCTACATCACTGGCCCAAGAATCACTAAATTAGCTGGGTATGGCTGTTGCTCACTCATCATCTCAGCACTCTGGGAGGCTGAGGCTGCAAGACAGAAAGTTCAAACAGCCTGGGTAACTCAGGCACTTAGTGAGGCTCTAGTTCAAAATGTATTTATTTTTGGTTTATTTTGAGAGAAGGTCTGACTAAGTAGTTTTGGCTGGTTCTAATGTTTTTATTTTTTTTGCGGTACCGGGGATTAAACTCAGGACCCCTGTGCGTGCCAGGCAAGCACTTATTCTGCTGAGCTATCTCCCCAGCCCTGGTTCTAAATTTTTGGCAATCCTCTCCCTTCTAAGCACTGGGATCACAGATTTGTTATACCCAGCTCGTCTTAATTAAAAAAAAAAAAAAAAAGTGGAGTTGTAGTTTAATACAAAGACCCTGGATTCAACCTTCAATCCCTGGTACTGAAGTGGGGAGGAGGGAGGGCATCATTGCTTTTTTTTTTTTTTTTGGTGGAACCAGGGATGGAACTCAGGCCCTGCGCTTGCCAGGGAAGCACTTATTCCACTGAGCCATCTCCCCAGCCCCCATCATTGCCTTTTTTGGTACTAGGAATTGAACTGAGGCAAGCACTGTGCGACAGAGCTATATTCTCAGTCCCTGAATTCTTAAAAGTATCTGGTGCCATGCATATTACAGGTTAATAAATACCAAAATAAAATTCAAAAATCATGCAAATTTTGTTCCTACTCTGGTTTTTTTATTGAAGGAAAATGACAGGAGATAAGGGAGAAAGAGAAGCAAGCCATTGAACTGAGACATGGAAGTGTGAAGAAGCAGTGGAGAAGGACATGGTACTTACGGTAAGCACAACTAGCAGTTTAACGTATAGTCTGGAAGAAACCTGATGCAGCAAGTATTAGTACCTTAATGGTGGCGATGTGAAAAGGTGTTGCAATGCCAAACACCGGCATTATTACAGTCTCATACTTCTTATCAATATAGATCTTCATTTCTCGAATATGTGGTTCCTTAGGCATCAGAGACGGGTTTTTATAGGACACATTAGATTTGCGAGCCCTAGAATTAGATTTTAAAAATCCCTGAGTAATGTCTGCCATCACACAGTAATCCTACTGCAATCTCACTGCTCAGTGTGAACACTTACTTCTGAATCTGCTGCTCTCCCTTCTGCTCAGTCAGCCGCCTCTTTGCTTCTTCGTTGAGCTGAGCTGCCAGCTCTTTCTGATGTGCTCTTCGCTTCTCTTCTGCAGTCATCTCATTCTAGTGAGGGAAGAACCCAAGTTGCCAAAACATGCGCATCATATGAGATCGTAATTTAAAAGAACAGTGAACTTACTCGTGTTCTTTCTGTAAGTAAAGCTGCCCGAGAACCTCTTCCCAGAAGGTCTTCTGCTTCATCTTTTTCCTCTTCCTCTTCTTCCTCATCTTCATTCTGTGGGAAAAAGTCATTGTGAGAAAAATCAAATTTAGCTTTCTATTCTTGATTAACTTCTTTGTTGAATTGAAATCCTTCGTGTTTATCTTTGCCCTACCTTTAGAAAAATCCCCACATTCTTTACTTTCTTCTTCACAGAAGTAAGAACTGTAGCTGGGCCATCCTAGAATAAAATGAGAATTCAGACATCAACTTAAATGAAGCACATGCCACATTGAAGCTTACTATAGAGCTGGGCAATGCTTAGCACCTGCTAAATTCTAAAATACTTAAATTAAAATATTTAATTTGAAATTAAATAAATACAACTTTGACTTTCATGATTCCTCATTAAGAACTATAATGTGCAAAGCAACATTAAGGCAATTGTGAAGAAATACAAGTTGGTTTGAAATCTGGCTTGGTAACTTTCCAACAACTGGCAAGTTACTTAAACATCTCTGTACCTGCAGTTCCTTTATCTGTGCACAGGGAGAGAAGAGTACAGGATCTACTGCATAGCGGAACTGCAAACATTCAATGAGTTAACACATAAAATGGTTAGCTCATCATAAAAATCACTAAGTATTTGCCATTGTTATTAAAAATCAATTCCTGCTAAGAGAAAGACAATCACAAAAGACTGCATACTGTCTGATTTCACTTACATAACTGTCTAAAACAAGCAAATCTTTATAGAGATATAAAGCTGCTGGCTGAGCTTAGAGGAACTAAAGGGGAAAGAAGAAAACGGGTTCACTCTCTGTGCTTTCAGGGTCTATTCAGAGGTAATACAAGGTTCAAAAAGTAAAACCTGAGTGTTGGGTGCACAACTGTAAATACATTAAAAATGACCATGCACTTGTAAGATTTAAATGACAATGGAATACCCTTCTCTGACAAAACTAAACAAGAAAAGGGGATAGAAATGAAAGAACATTTTGTATCTGTATACTCAAAATAATTAGGATAGATATACAGCTCCATTCTCTTAATTCAATGAATTAGAGAGGTTTGTTCTAATAGCGTTTGAGACAGGATATCATGGCTGCATCTTGCAGAATGAATAACCAGTAAGACAACAATACGCAACGTATCAATTATCGAAAATGTGCTAGTAATCTGTTGTGAAACTGTTTCATTGCTATTTGGTTCTCAATAAAAATATTTTTAAAAAGTAAAAAAAAAAAAAAGAAAAAAGACCAAATTGTACATTTAAAAAAAAATACATTTTAACTGAATGAACTGTGTAATATGTAGCCTAAGAGAGACGGCGATTACTTTTTCTGTTTTTGAGGCAAGGTATGTAGTTCAGGGTGGACTTGAACTCACTATGCAGTCAAGGGCTGGCCTTGAACTTGAAATGATCCTCCTCACCCAGCTTCTCAAGTGCTGGGATTACAGATGTGCACCCAAAGTTCTGGCTAAAAAAAATTTTTTTTTTCAGTGTGTGTGTGTATGTGTCTGGCTTCGTGGGGTGCGGCATGTGGTACTGGGGATTAAACCACGGTCCCTATGCAAGCAGTTGCTTTAGTCCGCTGAGCTATCCTACTGGCCCAAAATTTTAAAGTAATTTGTTGTCAGGTCATGGAGATAGCTCAGTGGTATAAGTGTCTGCCTAGCAAGTGCAAGGTCCTGAGTCCAATCCCAGGTATGCCCCCCAACGCTAATAATTTGTTGTCAGAATTAGTTCCAGATACTATCATTGTCAAGCAGCTTGGTTTGAATCATTCCCAGTATCTGGGCTATGATTTCTATTCCTACCTGTATCAGTTCAGGCTCATTTACCACTTGCCTTACCTAGAAATTAACAAAGGTTAAAAAAAAAAAAAAAAGCTCTACAAGGTTTAAAATCTGCACCAGCCAAGTGTGTGGCTCAACCTTGCAATCCCAACACTCAAGAGCTTGGCTAACGGCAGGAGGCGGCTACAAATTTGAGGCCAGTCTGGGATACACAGTGAGACCATCTCAAAAAAAAAAAAAAAGAAGGAAAAAAAAACAAAACAAAACAGGATCAAAAAAATATGCACCAAAAGTCAGTGAACATGAAAGGTTTAAGAGGAAACACAGCACTAATATTGTTTAGGCGAGATATCATGTCTGCATCTTGTTCTCTGAATAACTACTAAGAAGACAACGATATGCAATGTATTAATTATTGCAATTGTCCTACTAAACTGTTTTGAAACTACTGCTATTTTATCTTTTTTCTCATTAAAATGAATTAAAAATAAACAAATAAAGAGGAAACATATACCTCATCCACAAGCACTGTGTCACCAATGAATAGGGCATAAGTTTTCTCCTCTGGCTTTTTCCCCTCCTTATTAGTCAGGTCAGAGAATCCCAAATTGATGCTGAAAACCATTCCTACAATGGTCAAACAAGGATCAGTCTGGTTATGAAAGCATGAAAAGTATTAAGATTTACATAAAAAAAGGAGATAAAGCAAAGTGTATTACTCCAAAAAGTATTTTCTTACTGTGCAGCATGCAAAACTTACCCTTCTTCAGTTTGTACTGATTTTTACTATTGATTACTAGAGAGCCTTCACGGAATTCAATCCCCATCCCAAATCTGAAAAGAAATAAAAGTATAGCAACATGCTAAAATTTCTCCTCTGTGGATGAAGTATAATATTCAGTATTCTTTTGGTGCTAAGGAGCAAGCCCAGGGCCTTGAGATGGCAACATGTTGTGCTTTGGGGTTTTTGCAAGGCAAACAATATAGTAAGGACATGTTTTATAGTAGCATTGTAAAATGTATCACCCAAGAATCATATACAAGTGCAGGAAATCTATCTGCACACTAATACTAAAGAATGCAGCTGAGGACCTAGATCCTAATACCCTACATGAGTCCAGCTGAAGTCCTACAGCTCATAATGATGCCTCCCACAAGTCCAACTGGAGGCCCAGAGCTCACGACAAAGTCTCATGCAGGCCTACTTCTTCTCGGATCTGTGCTGGAGAGGCCCAAAGGTCAATGGTGGAAGCTAGAAAGCCTGTGCCAGTGGGATGAGGGATCTGTGCTAGCCAGCTGAGGGATCTGAACTGGAGCTAGGAAGCAATGCTCCAGGTAAGCACCAGAGTTCCCCAAAAGAGCCACAGCATCTTCAGCAACCGTGAGGTCCTGAGCTCCTCCAGCAATGAGGAAAGCCCAGTTCCCATCAGGAAAGCCCATGTAACAAGCTTCTCCATTGGGCTGAGCAGTGCACCATCTTCCCTTCTGGAGCCAGGAAGTAACGCTCAAGATGAGGAACAGAGCTCCTCTAAGCTCATCAGGAAAGCCAGTATGACAAAGTCCTCTAGCAGAACAGCCCAAGAGAACTAGCAGCTTTCAAGTTCCAACAGCTTCTCCAAACAGCATCCTTAACAGTGTTTTCAGCAGCTTCTCTTGTTCTGTCTTTATGCTGCTGGCAACAATCCTCAGGACAGCCTCCTGCACCCAGCACCATGCTAGGTTAATTCAGCTGGGTGTAATAAGCTGACCACCAGTAGATATCCACTACAAAAGGGAAGCACTCTACCAAGGAACCAGATCCCTAATGCTTGCTTTAATTTTTAAGTAAAGCAGGCAAACATGCTGATTTGCTCCTGCTGGTCAGTTAAAGAGGACTCAAAGGTAGTCACTGGCTTGAGTAAGTTGCAAAATCCCATACAGAAGAATTAAGTATCTTCTTGTATTACTTATCAGATCAAAACTTCATTGTGAGGCTGGAGAGATGGCTCAGTGGTCTAAAGCACCTACTTAGAACAAGCTTAGCAAAGCACAGGGACCGAGGTTCAATCCCCCAGCACCACATGCCATCCAGCCCCGCCCCCTGGTGGGCTGAGCGGGCCACACACACACACACACACACACACACACACAGATAAATAAAAATTTAAGAAAAACAACAACAACAACAAAACTTCATTGTGGCTTATTTACCAGTTTAAATTTTAATCTATCATGACATCAAGTTAGCACTTTTCCTATAAGCAATTTAGCAAAGACTATTAAGGATTATTATTACCAAAACAAGAATGACTGAATTAAGAAAGACAATTTTGGAACACTGATAATTAGGTTCATAAAATATGGTATCACTGTTTAGTCTCCTTTTTCAGTTGTTTATGCTTTCTCTCTTCTTAATTTCTTACATATTTCAAGGGTGGGCCAAATAGCTCAGCCATTAAAGTGCCTGCAAACAGGCACAGGGGCTGGGGATTTGATCCCCAGGCCTGCTGTGCCAGCCTCTCCCCCCGCCCCCCGGGGGGGCACTGAGATGGTGATTGAGACTGGGCATGGTTGTGCGAGCCTGCAATCCCACCTCTTGGGATGCTGTGAGTCCGATCTAGTAACAAACCCTGAACACCCCATAGACCCTTCCTTAAAATAGGAAAAAAAAAAATTCTTATACATTTCTCTTTTTCTTTTCTTCTTAAAGTTTTCATGCATATATCTGATAATATGAATAACTGGTTGGAAGACAACACTGTATCACAACAAATACTATGAAATTCATATTACTTTGTGAAAAATGTCCTCAGTTGTATTAACATATACTAGGTATTTTTCTATGTTCCAGGGTCCAAAAAAATTGGGTTTTGTTTTCTGAGTCAGGATTTCACTCTAAAGTTCAGAATGGCCTTGAACTCACTAGGCAGTCCAGGCTGTCCTCAAACTCTTGGTAATCTTGCCTCAGCCTCTTGAGTGCTGGCATTACAGGTGTGCACCACCAGGGCCACCAAGGATCAAAAAAATTTAAGAAATACTAGATTAAATAAAACCTTGAAATAAAAAAAATTTTTTTTTTGAAATAAAATATTAATACAGATCCAGCACAGCCCAGGCCCGACAAGTGTGTGGGAGAGCTTCCGGTTTCCTTGTGCCCGCGGAAATCTCCGGACCAAAATTCAGAAACGCCCTGTGAGTGAGACCCTCTACCGCGTTCTCGGGACCCCTCCACCCCTCCGGAGTCCCCGCCCCCAAGCCTGCCAAGTGAGTGAGAATGTCTGTGACATCTTGGGACCCCCAGATCCATTCCAAGTCCAGGCCCAGATAGTATGTGGGAGAGCTTCTGCGCTCCCCTGTGCCCCCTGGGTCAGGGGCACAACAGAGGGGCACCACAGGTTCACTGTTGTGCCAGAGGGGCACCACAGGTTACCTTCCAATGGCTGCAGCAGGAAGGAGCTGAACACAACAGCTAGACCCAAGCCAGGCACAACTGGATAAACTCAAAATTTAATAGATCTGCACCTGAATTTCAGTAGGTGCTAAGGTTATAACTGCACCAAAGCTCTACACCAAAGGCCAGAGGTCAGTCCTATACGAAATGACAATGACAAGAAGCAAAATGCAATCTCAGGCCTCGAGCCCACCCAGAACAAGTGCAGAGGACACTAGCTCAGCTGAAATGGATGAATTAACAGCGTTGGAAGTAAAGAAACAATAGCAGAAAGGTATAGAGGAACTCAGAGCAGAATCAATTTCTGAAATAAAAAAAGAAATCTCTGAATTCATAACATTTGAAGTAAAGAATCAACTATAGAAACATATGGGGGAAACCCAATGCCCACCCTGAAAAAGTGCAGAGGACATTAGCTCAGCTGAAATGTATGAACTAACAGCATCAGAAGTAAAGTAACATCAGCAGAAAGGTATAGAGGAATTCAGAGCACAGTTAATTTCTGAAATAAAAAAAAAGAAATCTCTGAATTCATAGCATCTGAAACGAATCAAATACAGAAACATATGGAGGAAACCCAATCTGAAAAAAAGTCTGCAGTAAAAGAATTAATAACTGCTTCTGAAGAAGACATTGATAAAAACAGAGAGATTAGAAAAATGATGGATTCCTTGAATGAGCAATAAAGGAAAGAAATAGATCGCATGAAGCAGAGTCAAAGAGATATAGAGGGGCTGGTGAGATGGCTCAGTGCTCTAAAGCACCTACTTGGAACAAGCTTAGCAAAGCACAGGGACCCCGGTTCAATCCCCCAGCACCACATGCCAGCCAGCCCCGCCCCCTGGTGGGCTGAGCTGGCCACAAACACACACACTCACACACACAAAATAAATAAATAAATGTTAAAAAAACCCACAAAAAACAAAGAGATATAGAGGAATTTAAAAATCTCAATCACAAACTTGCAAAACCATTTGAGTGAAAGTGAAGACAGAGTTTCAGATCTTGAAGACGCTGGGGCAGCTAGTGAAAAGGTGAGAAAGGATCTCTTAAAAACAACTAGGATACAAGAAAAAATAATCCATCACCTGCAAGACGATGCAAAGATGAACAATGTGAGACTAATAGGCATCAATGAGGAGTCAATACAAACGATATAAAAAAAACATGGGCAGAAGTAATAGCAGAAAACTTCCCAAATATGAGGAAACAATCTGACTTTCAGGTAACTGAAGCATACAGAATGCCAAATAACTTCAACCCAATTAAAAACATACCTGAGATATATAATAGTCAAGAGTCCAGAAATCCAGCACAAGAATAATATAATCAAAGCTGATAGAGAGAGAAAAGAAGCAGATCACATTCAAAGGAAAACCCATCAGAATTATGGCCGACATCTCTTGACAAACCATGAAGGCAAGAAGAGCACGGAGCAGAGTACTTCAAGCTGTCTATGAAAACAAATTCCAGCCCAGTCTACTTTACCCTGCAAAACTCTCTTTCAAGTTTGATGGAGAAGTACTTCCATGACAAAGAACTAAAGAATTTCATGATGACAAAGCCAACCCAACACAGACTACTAAAAGATGTTCTAGAGAGGGACCAAAATGATCAGAACTCCACGAATGAGAAAAGAAGGAACCCACTAAATGGGGCAAACTATTAAACATAGGAAAAAAGGAGTAAACAACAGGTAAATAACATGTCAATCATAAGGCAACACATCTCAATTTTAACCATGAATGTAAATGGATTCAATTCACCAATTAAGAGAAACAGACTGGCACAGTGGATTAGGAAACAAAATCCGACAATATGCTGTATACAAGAAACACACTTTGAGGCTGGGGAGATGGCTCAGTGGAATAAGCGCTTCCCTGGCAAGCGCAAGGGCCTCAGTTCAATCCCTGGTTCTGCCAAAAAAAAAAAAAAAAAAAAAGAAAGAAACACATTTAACTCATAAAGAAATTCATAGGCTGAAAGTCAAAGGATGGAAAACAATACTACATGCCCCAGCACTTCAGAAAAAAGCAGGGGTAGCAATCCTGCTTTCAGACAGTCTCAACTTCAAACCAAGAATGATCAAACAAAATAAAGGCCGCTATATACTGGTTAGGGGAAAAATTCAAGAGGAAGAGGTAACAATCATAAATATCTATGCACCAAAACGGGAGCACCCTACTATATAAGACAAACCTTAGGGCATGAAAAATCTAAGATCCAATACCACAATCTTAACAGGAGAACTTAACACCCCCTTATCCCAAAAAGATAGGTCAACCAGACAAAAAATTAGCAAAGAAGTAGAACTAAACCTGAGCTTGGAACAAATGGACTTGGTGTACATACACAGTGTTCCAGCCATAACAGCTCAGTACACATATTTTTCACCTGCACATGG